ACCGGTTCTCACGGTCTCTTCGCTTGCAGATTTCTTATATTTTTTCTTCTACCCTGAAGATGGAGGCGATACGTTCCTCCGAAACGTCGGTTAACACCACATATACACGGTGCCAAATCCCAGAAGACTGCTTTCTTCATCTATTTTCATCTTCATTTGAAGATATACTCGTTGTGTTGACGGAACCATTTACTCGTTTATCATGTATCTAGACAACTCTTCTTAACAAAATATTAAGGTAATTGTTACTTAATTACTTAACGAGTTAATAAATTGTTTAGTGCGTATATTTAGCATTGCATTTGTATTGAACTCCAGCGGGAATCTCATTAAGTGTCTTTCCGTTGTTCACAGAAAACGCCAGTAGGTTCTGCCACAGCAACGGCACGTGGGACAACTATACGAACTACAAAGCCTGCGTCGATATGCCGTTGGAAGGTCAAACGGAGACGGGCGTGGAAACAGCGACCACTTTGTACTTCATTGGATATACCATGTCCCTCGTCGCACTTAGCATTGCCGTCGGAATCTTTCTGTATTACAAGTAAGCACATATCACTGAATTACTCATATTTACATACATACATATTATAATATTTATTATACTGCAATTGGGTTTTAGCCCGGTGGCAGTAGTACACAATAGGACACAACAGACAAGTAACACACATTACACTAAGTGACAACACGTTCAAACAAAACACAATACACAAACACAACAATAAGGACATCCTACCACGATGAATACAAACCAAATACGATTAACAACTACAACAATTACAGCAAAATACAAACAACTGCAACAAATACAACAATTACAGAGAGAGAGAAGAAAAAAAAATACAACACCCAAAACACAAACAAAAGGAAACCAACAGTCATGGATGCGTAATGTCATTCACTTCACTTCACTTCACTTCACTTCACTGCAATTTTTTTTCTTTTCAATTATTTCCACCCCAACTTCACTTCGCTTCATTTATCACTTTCCTAACCCTTCGCCTGAAATTGCTTGGTTTACAGGACAAAGTACCTAAAGCATCTTCAGGTATTTGGTTCCACCCCCACCCCCTCTCGTGTAAGTTTTGCACACATTGAATGTTTTACATTAAATTCGGTGAAATCGTGCCGCACCCCAAGAGATTGACACTGACGGGGCGATAAGCGCCTCAGAGCAGCGTGTGCTAGGCTTCAGCAAAGTCGGCGAGTGACAGCGATTCTCTTGAGCATCATTTTCCATCTCATTAAGAGACTACGACCCCTTGACGCTCCCTGCAGTAATACACGCAATAAGACCGCGCCATAGCTCAAGCAGTTAGTCTCTAGTTTCCCACCGCGGTGGCCCGGGTTCGTTCCCGGGTCTGGTGAAGTGGGATTTGTGGTGGACAAAATGGAGCTGGGGCGGGTTTTCTCCGAATACTTCGGTTTCCCCTGCTAATCTTCATTCCAACAAATTCTCCATCATCTCCATCACCCGGGGCAGGCTACAATATGCCAAACAGTGGCCATCGTGCCGAGTGGACCCAGTTGCACTCCACCCCCCCCACTAAGCGAATTAAAAAAAAATATACGCAATAACTTGCTTTCCAAACGCCGGCCAAAATTGTACAGATTTTGATACAGAATTAAGGTGCCATTCCTAACAGACAGTTGAAGAAATATGCTAAAACCCGAAATTAATGTTCTGTGTCTAATGAAGGAGTGTTGAATTTCCTAAAGGGTAAGCTTGAAACAGAACATGAAACAACTGAAGTGTGTACTGTCGACAGTGTGTTGTGGAAACCCCAGAGTGCAGCATAATCAGTCACATTAGCCTGCAGGCAATTCACAGTGATCGTATTCAACTTTTGGAAAATAAGCAGGAGGAAGAAAAGGAAGAAAATAAATATTATTACCAGCTTATACGCCTCCCACCAAATAAGAAATTTATTGATTTCATAACTTAATTCTGGTAATAAAAAAGGTGAATTTGTGCCTGTGCTTAACAAATTCAGCAATGCGTCAAGAAGGCGTATGGTGGAGTGGATGTGTAGATCCACATTTCCTTGAGTTCGGCTCTAGCTGGTGGTGAGTGCATGGCTTCACGCCCCAGCCGCTTTACCCCCGGAGAAATAAAGCCCCTGGTAACAATTGGATAGGATGTTGGGTGGGCCCCAGAGCTGGTCTGGACGACGTGGAGGGGAGAAAATTCTTGACCCTACCGGAACTCGAACTCCTACCTCTTGGTCGTCCAACCCATAGCCAGGAACTCCGGTGATGCTTCACGAAAACTCATTTAGCGAAGGATGAGTCTGAGACAAAAAAAAATGGAAAAAATATGAAGCTAATTAAACTGACAGTCTGAGAAAAGTGTTGCGAGGCTTTTGTGGTGTCATTCAAGGGTCTTAACGATTTATGTGATTATAGTTGTAGGTCCTCGTGTTGTGTGTCTTTCAAACAAAATTTACCTCGTTCCTTAGATCTCAGATTCTTTGCAATACAACACACCCACCCCTTTGCAGTGTTTACACAGTCAAAAAATACGTGTTTATATATGAAGGTGGCAAATGAAAATTGAATTACGACAGAAAAATTAAGTTCTATGGAATGAGGTGATGGATCACGTAACTACTAGTTATTCATGCGATCTTCTGTTTTTGGTAGTTTTTCCATTTGCTCACCACATCGCAGTACAACAGCCGTTCAAACCACTCTGGTCACGCCTGTTGCTATACGAACTTGAACCATCTCGAGCATCATTTGCTCTGTGCTTCAAGTTGCTGCTGATGACGCTGCTTCCGGCATCACTTTTTGGTGTCTCTCTTTGAGGTCTCTTTGACCTGTCCAGCATGGGAAGCCCTGCCAATAGCTACGCTACCGCTGGCATAGCTCTCAGTGTCCTTGGCATACTCAAACCCCCTCACCACGATAAGGTGGAGACACCAACGAGGGTGAACTACTAGTTATACAGAGTGAATAATTTTGCTGAAATTTCAGAATTTGTTAGAATAAACTGGACGAAGAAGAGGAAACAGAGAAGCTGCGTCCATATGAGCCACATCTGAACGTACGTCCACAAACAGATTTGCTAGTCAGTCCCAAGACAACTTATGTTTAGTTGTAGGGCTGCAGCACTTGTCTGATTTCCATAACCAGCTTCGTGAAGCTGAGTTTATATTGTGAAACTGGCACCCAAAAGTTTAGTATCGGTTCACAAGATGCCGCCACTGAACGGTATCCAGAGCCAGTTTGATTCAGTCCATATCCTTAGAATCCGTTTCACTGCATTCATTTCAGTATGAAGGTGCCATCTATAAGTAAATGTAGAAGTAGTGTAAGCCGTTCGATTTCTCGATTAATGTCTCGCCCATGAACTTGCCTCAGAAAGGCTCAATGTTTCAGCCTTAAAACAATCCTAGCCTGGCATTAAAGCCAGTTACCCTTGGTGTGATTCTCAGATCAATTATTGAACCTTGGCAGTCGGAGAGATGTACCCGTTTTACAGTGGTAATATTTCTCTTAACATCTGTTCCCTGCTTTCAGCGTGCATTTGCGTTCTTTGATAGTGCTACACATTTTTGTCTTACTCATGTGATCTCAGATCGGCGGCTTTACTGAGGCTTCCACGAGAAAGTGTGAGTGCAGACAAGCGTCCGGTTTTGACCATACTGAAAAGAACTGATACTTTGGTTGATGATGATGATGACTGAAAACAATGTGAGGCACAGAGGCTTTTCAGTCATGACCAGGTACCAAAGAAGCAGATGGTGTTTTATAGTGACGCAAAGAGAAGCCAGCAATTTGACTTGGAATTTTATTGAAAAGACGGCAGTAACTTCGAGCATAAAGAGGATTTAGTAAATACAAAATGGACCCGGATTTATTTGGCCGTAAGAGACAAGGCACTAAACCAACGACTTCGACTAGGAGGGCGACTGTTTAAAACAGGATCACTGTTAACTGGAGTTTTATCCAGACAAAGTATTTCTGATTGGTCAATACGAAAAGTATACGCTGACTGCAGGAAGTGTTAATGCTGATAATTGTGGAAACTGTAAAAATTGGATTATTGATTTGTAATACGTTCTCTGTCTACTAGAAGCCTTTTGTCTATGGTAAAAGCTATCCCTGTAACAGGCCATGGAGGTCCACAGGGCTATGAGACATTGAGGCTCCCACATTATCTAGACAATCGACTCACAGATGGCGGTAAGTTTGTCAGCCTTACGCGCCGGCCGCCCTTTACCCCCAGGAAGATTCCTGGTACTAATTTCTGTTAGAGGCTGAGTCGACCTCAGGGCCATAGTGCGGCTGGAATGATTAGGTCAATTGAAAAAATCCACCTCGTCGGGACTCGAACTCGCGACCTTCCTTCTTGTAGCACAGTGCCTCAACCAACTACGCTACCGCGTGCCCTTCATCTGTTTATGATAGGGCACAAAAACAATAAGCGGTTGCATAATGGTTTGGAATTAAAACTATTCCAATTTTATTTAAACAAAATAATATCTTGACACACAGGTTATCCATAAGCTTCCAATTTTATGTATGATACGTTCATCATGGTTCAGATAGACGAGGGAAAATTAAAACGTAAGAAACAAAACCGTTCACTTCAGAACCATGTCGGAAGTACTGAAAATGATGAGTGATATAAACAATGTCACCTGTACGTACGTGGTCTGTATTATCGTGTGATTGGTGATAACACTGTGACAGCTTTAACACGACAGCTCCGCCGATACAGTTCATCAAAGAAAAATAATGATCTGATATCCGATTTCTGTCACTAAAGTGTATGACGGGAAGCAGTAACATTTAAGGAAGAATGACGCTCCATAATACAGCGAGCGATACCGATGTGAGCCAGAGGAAGATTCACAAAGGAGGGCGGACGGGTGCTTGGCCGTCCAAACTTGCATAGAAATTAGTAAAGAGGGGAGTGGACTAGGCAAGGGTCGGTGTTGAGAGGATCGTGCGGAAAGTAACGAAATATTGACCAATGTTTACAAGTTACAATTTCAATTAAATTTTTCCAAAAGACGCAATTATACAGTAAGCACCAGCAATGTAAGTAAAGTAAAGCTATCCCTGTACCAGGCCGTGAAGGCCCATAGGGTTGTGAGACGTTGAAGGTCCCACATTATCTAGACAGTCGGCTCAAAGATGGCGGTAAGGTTGTCAGCCTTACGCCCACAGCCTCAATGGTCTGGTGTCAATGGTCCTGGCTATATATCCAGAGGTCCGAATTCGATTCCCGTCGCTACCAGATTTTCTGAGAAGTAATGGGTCTGGAACGGGGTCGACTCAGCCTCGTGAGGATAATTGAGGAGCTATTTCAAGGAAATAGCGGCTCCGGTCTAGAAAACCGAGATTAACGACCGTGGGATCCATTACGCTGGCCACGCGACTCACTATCCGCAAAAGTTGGCACTAACTTCGCCGACAAGAGGCGGTCTCTCGGTCGGTATAGTTCGCTTGCGGACTAAAATCACGGAGTTTTTTTTACTAATAACGGAAACTAATAAATCCTTCGCAATATGTTAACAGCATTAAAAAATAAAA